CACCATCCGTCCGCTGTCGCCGAGTCCGAGGAGTGGAACCCGCATCGCCACGTGTACGTCCTCCGACACCTGCTCGTCCACGGCCGCCACGTCCCTGACCACCAGCCCTGCGTCGCCTCCTGTCTGACTCCGCCACCCGACGCTCGGCTCCCATGCGGGAAATGGCGCGCATCCTCTCTCTGGCGAGGCTCAACTCCTCCTGGGTCACGACATGCGGATAAACAAGATGCAATCATTTCCTCGTAACGTCGCAGAATCTTGCTGATCTGGCGTGTGCCGCTGTCCACCAACTTCAACATGCCCATGATGGGCTCTAGCATCTTGCACARAGCTCTCAAATCCTCCCACCATGGAGGGGAGCCGATACATGCAGTGACCTCCGCTGCATCCTTGCGGATMTTGYTGGTCRACCAAACAGTCTYGCGCCAGCGATCGTCGGCCACAACATCTGTCAACGCGGCCCGCAGTGCCACCAGCCTCTCCATCATGATGACGTTCGTGCCGAAACGCGTCTCCGCTAGTAGCAGAAGAGTCTTCGTCGAGTGCGCCTCAAGAACCTCTCTCGCATGTCCATGGCGCTTGAAGAACCTTGTAACCAGCCTCGCTTGAGAAATGCGGAAAGCCACCCAATCAATCCCGCCGATGTCCTCGAGAATGAGATCCATGATGTGGGCGACGCAAGGAATCCAGAAGATGTGTTTCACGCTCTCATCTTTTTGGAATACCTCCATCGCCGCGACGTTCACCCCGGCGGAGTCTGTCACGAACGCCGTGATGTCGCTCAATTGAACGTCCATGGACTTCACCCGGCACTGGCGTCCTTTTTGCCACGCATGACGTCGGTGGACACATACACCACCCCGATCTCTGTACCAACAAGGTAGTTGCACAACGTCTGACCACGGATGTTGGTCCAACCATCGGTCATGATTGTGCAACCGGTCTCTCTCGACGTGTCAAGCCCCGGCCAAACACACTTCTGGACCTCACCATCCAGCTCGTCCAAAAGGGTCGTGCGCAGCATGTGGTACGAGGGAAGTCTAGGCGCGGGCGCCCCTGGAACCCCCGACGGGATTATCATCGTGAACATGCGTTTGAAGCTTTCAAGCTTCGTGCTGTTGAACGGCATCCCGCTCTCGACGATGAACCGCATGATTTGCAGATGCCATGCGCGCTCCAAAGGGTCTGAATAATATGACGTCACGGCTTGCTGCCTATAAGTGCCCCGACATCGTCCCGTCGTAGCTCTCCCGCCGAGGACCCCAGCATCCAACAACCCGCCAGGGCTCACAGGTGTCGCGCTCTGGGCGACTGCAAGGTCACGAATGCGCTGTAAAGGGTCTAACGTTTCGGTCAACACAGGTGGAGGCTGTGGGGCAGACCGACCACCGCCCGTGGTTGTCGGAACAGGGGTCGGCGATGAATCGGACACCGGAGCGGGGACCTTCTCGGCAGGCACCCCATGATCCACCTGTTCCACGAAACGAGGCACGGAAGCAGAATGTCGAGCATCTGCAGGTGCGTGTGACGGATCCGGGTGGGCGGTTCCGTGAGCGTGGTGGACCATTGGACGCTGCGCCGCTCTCGACGGTGGCGGTGGCAGCCAGGGGTGCTCCGACGAACTGCGGGGTGATGCGCCAGGTGCCACCACAGTACCACCCCGTGTGGCATCTGACTGCCTAGCACTCCTGAAAACAGGGACGAGCGCGGGCGCTGAACTGCCGGCACTCCCCCCCCACCTGCGACTCTCAATAAATGCACGTGTGCTCTCCTCGTCAAATGTCGCAGATCCCACACCATCCCTCAGAGGCGGGGGCTCGTTGGCTGGCGTGGAACGACCAACTCCCACATCGCGAGCACCTCGTGTCCCAGCCAGCGGCGCAGACGGCGGGGCTGCCGGTCGTGTTGCAACTGTTGTTGCAGGACGCGGTACCGTGACTCGAATGGCCGGAGCCCCAGAATTGGGCGATGCGACGGCTCCAGAAGGGGCGGTGGGAGGAACCAGCGGCGGCACTGCGTCCTCGGGGAATCGAAGAGGTGGCCACTGCAAGCTAGGATGACCTGGCAAGTGGCTCTGCAACGTTTCCATGGCCGACGCGAACTCCTTTGGACATTTTGTCATGTCCTTCGACCAGATCGCATTCCCCACAGCAGGAGTGGCTGCCTCACATCGAAACTTCTCGCTCTTTGTCATGTCCCTGGCGGCTTTAGCGCCCCCACAAATCGAACGCCCGCACAACCTGGACAGGCATCGACGAGCACTCTTCCTGCCCGCCGCCGTCGACCCATCCAAATAACGCCCTCTGGCCACGAAATGCCACACCGGGTCGTCCCGCTTGCCGTCGACTGTCGGGTCGAGCTTGAACGACGAGTCAAACGTCTTCGTGTTATGACCTTGTCGGGCAGTCGTGAGCGAGTCTGACGGATCCTTCCCCCGGTCCTGCGACATGATGAAAGTCGCCAACCGCAAAAAAAAAAGACGATGTCGGAACCCTCTGAGAATGTTGCCAACTCGCAACAGAGATCGAAGTCGGCGTCAGAGCGGCAAAGAAATGCTATGAAACAGGCAAAAACGATGAACGCAAAGTGCAGAACCCCAAGACATCAGAGGGAAAACACAAGACGACATGAAACAAAAAAACAAACAACCAAAGAACAACAAAAAAAACTCAGAACTCAGA